TTAACCAGTCGATGTACTAACAATTTGTTAAGTGCCAAGGGACAATGCAATTCAGCCGAGAAGAAAGGCACAGTAAATTTTAAATGGGTAAATATTGACGTTATATTTCATGATTGAGAGCACTTCAATTGAAGGATTGATCCTACAAGTCATAATACCCTATGCCTCAAATCATTATATATTTGCAGGGTTTTAAATTTGATAAGATTGTTTTCCCAAGTATTAACTGTCCCCAAGTTGAAAGTATTTGACTTGGTAAAAATTGTACCATCAACATAATCAAGGAATACCAAACATATTATCTAGAATAAGCAAAAGTCTTGATAAAATGTTAGACTGTAGCAAGATGTTTGTTTTATAGTAAGCCATGGGACAGTGTTTATCTTATAGATCTACCCCTCAGCAAGTCCTGTGAGACCTCCATGGTGATCTACTGGTGTAACAATAGGAGTTGGGACACTATTAGACCCAAGCAAAAAAAATCAATGACTCAATATCAAAACTGCTTGAGATTTTCTGTGATTTAATCAATAAATCATAATAAAATTTATAAAATATTTTTCCCAAACAAATGACTTTCCTAAAAGTTGCCACCTGTTGTCAACTTTGGTTGTGAACGTGGCTTCATACTCTTCCCTCCAGTTACACAGGTTGACATTTTTAAGTCGTTTTAATTACAATAAGTAAATCCACTTGCATGGAGGTAGTGGACTTACCATAGTCTCAATTTTCCTTTGAGCGAATTGTACATGCCATTTTTAAACTTCCATTTTCAATTTTTCTTTTTCTCGTCTGCTAAATGTGCCTGCTAAACTTAGTTTACATAGTTGAACTTTATCTTTCTTATTTTTGAAAGTATCATAGGTATTATTATGTATAATTCTTTGTGAATGAGGCACAAATTCTTAGTATTTACCAATCCTTTAACTGTTTTTAAAAAATATAAGTTATAACATTTTAATACTAATTCAGTTTTTATAATCAAATTACATTGTGGTAGGAGAACATGTGGAAGAATTTTGTACCAACAAATTAATAATTTATATACACAAAATGTGAACTATTAATTTTTGTCCGTCTGCACTTCTTGCACAAAATAATACTGGTATATTATGTCAAAAGTTCAATTTATTGCCAAACCAAAGAACAACAAGGTTGGTACAATAAATACATTAATGCTTCATAATCTGTAAATGAGGGGAGATTTCTACGACAAAAGAATCAACAGTGTTAGCGACTCATGATACAATTCAATGCATCAATTACTTTGGACATCAATGAAAAAACTTCAGTATAAAGTTCAATGCAAAATACACTGTTCTATCATTTTATCACATAATAAAAAAGATAAGTTTTATTATCTTTAATGCTTCATCACTAAACAAGATAGACCAGTCTTTAACATATAACTTGTACATAGATTTCAAGGACCAATCACACTGCAATCATTGTATCAACTAATTCAATTAAAACATCAAATTGTTTAAGTTGTTCATTCTGTCTGTTATAACTTGTCCATGGCTGAATATCCCTGATATTTCAGTTCCTATTCTAAATGCATGGTCATCTCAGAATTCTACAACATCTCCAAGGCAGCAGGTGAAGTATGCATGAATCCTAAAAGAATGCAATAAGAATATGAGTGATGACTCTCCGATGAGAAGCAAGGTATAGATCAAACCACACTGAACCTTATAATCAAAGTTGCCCACTGGAATAAGATTGGGCAGTTAATCTTAAGTTATCAGGTAGGTAGTTTGAATAAATCTATTTATTGATGTTTTTTTTATATTTTGCACTTACTACAGACCTTAGGCTAGAGCACACTTAACAGGATAACAATTGTTCATTTAGGGCAAAAAAGGGATTTTCCTAGTGTTAACGTCCAATTTTCCCCATACTTACCAATGGTTAATGTATCCATTCTGATATTCAAAGTAAGTCCATTTTTTTTTCTCTCAAAAAAGTTTTTTTTTTGTAATAATCTCTTAAGAAATTATCATGGAAGTATAGCCATCTTTGAAGGTTCACATGGTCTGATGGCAAGCACAGATTCCAGAATTTTTGGTGGCAAAATGGGATTTATTATTTTTCAATGAGTTGTTTACAATGTTTTAATTTTGAAATATGAATCTCATACAAACACTTTTTATCCCTTTAACTTTCATCACAAGTCACAAACTGCTTTATGAATCCAAAAACCACATAAAATATAACTTTTCTAACAGCACACTAGTCTGTCATAAATACATGGGCTAAAGATAAAGAACTTATTCCCAATGACACTATCAGTCTTTGTAGATCAAGCCAACTTCTTGTGGACTCCAGCTGAATGCACTAATTTTGTCAGTTTAAATGTACACAAAAGAGGATGTGGCACCAAAATTCATATTTAACTAATTATCCCGGGGTAAACGAAATTTTTCCTGGATTAACCAACCTTTTATCTTCCTTTCCTGACACTCGCTATAACTCTGTAACAATTTTGGAAAAAGCCAAAGATCAAAACCTGCACATAAGCAAAGGTTTCAGGGGTGGATCCAGAGATATTTTCTGACAGTCTTCCAAATTATCTTTGTTAATTCATCCACCATTTTTGACCGTCTTCCGACAGAAAAAATTAGATACCTGTCAATGTAAACTTGAAAATCTGACCGTCTTCCGGAAGACCCAGAAGACAGCCTAAATCCGCCCCTGGGTTTTTCTTTCATTTCCACTGACTCATCTTCCAGTTATCGCCAGACTCTTGCACCTTTAATCGTGCTCTTTTCAAACTGTGTCAAGATGGGTCACTTCCGAGGTTAGACAGGGGACTGTGAATACGTTTTTTGCAATATTGATTAAGGCCACTTATCTGTCATTTTATGTTTCAATGTTTTAATTGTCCTCAGATAAGTTCAACAAGAAGCAATCCATGCACTTAGAATGCGTTTTAATCCCACTAGCCCTGTGTGGCTTTAACAGATGAACACGCCTCCTTGTTTCCAACTCACTCGTATAATCTCCAGCTTTTCTGTATTCTACCCAACGCCAGGAGGGGGCGTGTTAAGCTTTTAAACTGATTACATTCAGCGAGAGTCCCCACGATGTTGGATCGATCTACGTAGACCGATACTTTTATTGGGAGTGAGCCCTATTTTGTCTATTTATGCACCTACTGCAGCGGGTATCTGACGCGCAGCTCTTGTTAAGATCGGAATAATTCAAAATGCATTCGACTACAGCAACAGAAAACAATTAAATTTTACAGCTGTCAAGTATGTGTTGACTTGTAATTCCTTCTTAAGGAACAGCTTTAAATTAATAATTGTGAATTATAAAGCTCACCATGTTTGAATTGCCCTCCTCGTTTCCTCGCTGCAAATGTGGTCCCAGTCACATGACCATATGACGTAAAGTTGACCTTTATAAACACAGGGACCAGCAAACAATTGTGGAAATTTTTCACACATTGTTCATACAAACGAAAAATTTTATCAAAAAAAGTATTGTAAAATATTTTTTAATAAAC